CCCCCCCCGCAAAGCTGACGCCCCCTGACTGCCGTCCCACACACCTGTCTCCTCCTGGGGTGTCTCCCTGCAGCGATGGGGCTGCTTCGAGGTGGAGGGGAGAGAGGGAGAGCATCCATGGGCGCTCCAGGCCTCCCAGGCCTGCTCAGGCAGAAAGGGGGAGTTGTAAAACACACCAGTGCCTGCTTTGGGGATGCGGGAGCTGGGAGGCAGACGGCATTGGGGCGACTGGGGGAGCACCTCCTCCATGTTGGCGGGGTCAGGAGTCAGCTTGCCACCAGGGTGCCAGCGTTTTCTGGAAGCATTTGAGAAGCTGGCACAGGGGTTAAAGTGCAGCTCCGTGAAGCTGCCCCAGCCAGCGCAGCAGGGGCCCCCAGGGCCCCCACCCCGCCGTGAGCGACCCCGAGGGCCCAGCAGAGGGCTCCTGTCTCCCTGCTGCTCCCCGCAGCAGGGTATTTCAGCCAGGCCACCTGCTCCCCCTCTGTCTCTGGTGAGTCCTCTCACCCCCCTCCCTCCCCTGGCCCGCACCCCAGTTTTTGTACATAAATAAGTAAAATAAATCCTTTTTTAAAAATGTCAAAACAAACACAGGGGAGAAAATTTATGTTTTATATGTTGCGTGGGAAGGGGTAGGACAGGTGGAGAGGAGACTCGTAAATCACACAAGGGCCAGGACAAGAATTATTCTGGAGCTCCAAATAACACCGGAAAGCTAGAAGTCACCTCTGGGGTGGAAAGAGTGTCCCCCCAATTGATTTTCACCCCAGGCTTCGCACCTTGGGGGTGGCTGACATGATGGTTACTTTGGCTGGGTGGTAACAGACTGCCACCCCTCCCCCAACCTACAGCCCCCCCCCCCCAGCTCACTCACTCTGGGGAGCCAGTGGCCATGTTGTGAGGATAGTCAACAAGGCCCTGTGGGAGGGGTGAGGCAGGTGCAATTCAGAGTCCAGGAGTGACCTTGGAGTCTGGTCCTTCCGCCCCAGGGAAGGCTTCCTGGGCAGGGTGGGAGGCTGGCCCAGGTTGAGAATAACCAGCCGGCCCACCCCTAAACCCTCCCACATCCCTGCCCTGCCCAGCAGAGAAGACCAGCTATTGTTGTTTAATCCTTTGTTGGTGTTAAGGCCTGCACTAGGTACAAATGGGAAAAGGCAAATCTCAAAATACTGTAGAAAGATTATCATATCATTGAATTCTACACTCAACCAGATTCTAGCCCCACCTATGAAGCAAGAGGTGGAATGTAAGCTATCTTCATGCTCCACATGAAAAAACCCTGATCCCTTTTGCAGAAAGCTGCTATCGGATATGTTCCATCCAAACAAGGGAGTAAAACCAAGAAACCGGCAGAGGGTTGAGGGTGCTGCAAAAGCAGACTTGCAGTGGGGAGCTGCTTTGGCGCCATCTGAAGACCCTGCAGAGATCCCCCCAGTAAGATGAAAAGCATAGAAACAGGCTGGGTCCAAAGAAAAATTTGTTTTCATTTTCTTCCCTCAAAATCAAAAAATTTTGGGTCATTTTTCATAGGTAATACACATGTAAATTATGACACAAATCACTTAAGGAAATGTATATTATGAATTATGTATAATATTGTATACAATAGGTACAATATATATAACAGTGACACTGTGTATTTGTTACTGAATATTCCTTTTAATAGTCATGAATGAATTATAAATGGTAATGGGGACAAGTCAATACTCAAGAATTATTTGATTCATAATTAAGAAATAATTGATTCACATATTGCCCAAACCCTCATGAAGGGTGTTTAGTCAAAAAATCTTTAGTTCTAGAGAATTGGCCAAAAGTTGGGGACTAAATGAATGATACATTTATTGAAAATTATGCCAAGAAAACAAAAACAAAAACAACTAACACAAACCCCAAACTGGAAACCTGGGAAAACAGGAAGCTGCGAAGGAGCTTGTGTGAGGGGGGAGTTCTCTGAGGCCCTAGGATGTGGGCGCTGGGCCCCAGGAGTGGCCAGGGTGCCCCTGTTGAGAGGCTGGTGGGGGCAGGGAAGGAAAGTCTTCGTTCCCCCACTTCCTAGCGAAAATCAACAGCCCAAGACTCAGACAGGCGTAACCAGCATGTTACTTAGCTGCTCAGAGACGAAGGCAGATACCAAAGTCATCAGCTCACAGAGCTGAGCGAGACTGCCCGTGAAGAGGGCACCTTGGAGGGCCAGCCAGGTCTCCCCACCGCCCCCAGGGAATTGGGGGTCTAAACCAGGGCAGGGCTGGCTTTATGCCCAACACCAGCTGGAGTTGTTTGTGGCCTCACCAGCATTTGTGGTGCTTTGGGGGACACAGCAAACACCCGACTTCCGCTCCGGGCACCCAGCACACAGCTACATCATGTCCACCCAGATGTGGGGTTCAGTGCAGGACCCGAATATACCCCCTCCCAGGTGAGTAGGTGTGTGCAGATTTTACTAGCGAAGTTGGAGAAGTGGCGGGGTGGCCATCACAGGCAACGCAAACGGCCAGGCGAGGCGTCCACTTCTCAAGTGGCGACATCTCCGTGGCCTGGACGCTCTTCTCCCCGGGGACAAGCCTGCTGCCCTGGCCCTCAGCAAGCCCTGCCTGACATGCTGTAAGGTCCCGGCTGCCTTGCAGAGGTGGGGGTGACCGAAGACCTCAGAGCCACAGGGTGAGGAGGCAGGATGAGGTGTGGACCCAGGTCTTGGCTCTCGGAGCCAGGACAGCTCCTTCCCGGCAGCGTCCTCTGAGTGACCTGGGGGAACCTTCCTAGAACTTGGTTAGTGAGCTGGGCTTTGGAAGCAAGGCCCTAAGAGAGGGGGTCTCCATGGGCATCCCTGGGGGGGTCCCCATGGGCTCCCACTTGATCCCAGCAGAGCAGCTCTCAGGGAAGGGTTAGCTGCTTGGATGTCACCTGAGCCTCGGGTGCAGCCGTGCAGGTAACTTACCCTTCCCGTGCAGGTAACTTACCCTTCCCGTAAAGGCCTAAGGCAGGGCCAGCTCCACCCTCAGTCCAGGATCCCTTTGATCAGGACTCCCTGGGAGGGGTGGACCCTGGGGCCCAAGCCTGCATTTAAATTCCCCTGGGGATCTGGGCAGAAAGGAGGTGGCCAGCCAGGGTAAGGCAGGGTGGGAGGTGTTCTTGCACGCTCCTCCTGAGCTGGGGCCACCCCCTTCACGTCCCTCCATGCCCCCAGTTTGCCCAGCATCTCACCCATCCTCCAGCTTTGTCCCTGCTTGAGATGGGGAGTGACTTGGTGAGGCTGCTTTTCCCACGGATCCCAAGGGGTGGGCTCCAGTCCCTGCCCCACCCTGAATCCGGTTCAGAGGCTTCTCCCCCATCAGAAGCTGGGCAGGTGGAGGGGCAAGGCCCTTGGGGCACCGAGGTTCAGCACCTTGGAGAGGGGACAGTCCTGGCAAGGAGGGGCCCCACCAGCTCTCTGCCCCTTGGGGAGCTTCTCCAGAGGACACTCACCAGTGGGAAGGCAGATTCCAGCCCCGTCTGGGGGCCCGATGTGCTTAAACTGCTCCAAGTGCCTGGACCCCAACCATACCCCACCAGGGCAGCTGACAATCTCGTGAGTGGCCCGAGTTCTTCCAAGGACAGGGGCAGCCCCAGGGGATGGCAGTCCCTGACCTCACCCCGAGGCCCGGTCCCAGCAACCAGGGAAGCAGCGGCTGTGGCAGCCTCTCAGCAAGACTGGGTCCTGCGTGGCGACAGCTGCGCCCGTTGGTGCCACAGTGAACGGGGCTGCTCCAGGGTGGCAGGGTCTGCCCTGCCCACTCAGTCCCTCGGAGGCCAGACACCAGGCAGCCCAGGGCCTGGCACTCAGGACCCCCAGTTGTGGCTGAAGCCCATTCAAGGTCGGGGGACACACGATTCAGAATTTTGTTATAAATACACGTGTTTGGTGTGCGCGGGGCAACAGAAGGCAGAGACGCGGCTGGTATAGGCTTGGAGGCTGAACACCACAGAGACAGACAGACAGACAGACAGACAGACAGACAGTCCGCCCTGCTGGAGGCTGGGCAGCATTCTGGGGCCTGTGACTCTTGGTTGGTGGGGGAGCCGGCGGGGCGGGGGTCTCTCCAGGGCTGGCGGGGCCCAGGTGCCCTGGGGGCTCCCTGGCCTGAGGTGCCGGGTGGCGACGGCAGCGCCCCTGGGTCTCAGCTCACATCATTCAGGGCCTGGCAGGACAGGAAGGCTAGTCAGGAGCATGCCGGGCAGCACGGGGCCCAGGCGGCCCTCAGGGAGCTGCAGGGAACCTCACCTTGCGGGCAAATTCGGGCAGCACGAAAGCCGCCCGGTGGATGTCGGAGTTGTAGTACCTCAGCTGCATCTGCTCCACCTGCTTCTGTGTCAGCTGCTGCACGGGCTCCTGGAAGTTGGTGCTCTGGGCACGAGGAGGGGGCAATGAGCGAGGGCTTCCCCGTGCCCGCCGGCCCCTCGCTGCCGGGGCAGCCCCCGCTCACCGGGTTTTTGCTGCAGAGCATGAAGCCGATCTGGCCGCTGGGGTAGGTGGGGATGGTGCAGTAGGCGTAGCCCACCACGGGGAAGAGCGAGCGGCAGAACTGCCGCATCTCCCTGATCAGGTCCAGGTGCAGCCACTGACACTCGCCTGGGGGCGGCTGGTGTCAGCACGGAGGCGGGGCCGGCCCCGCC